TAAATTTGTTCTTTTAAAGTGTAGGGATGAAGTTTGAAGAGTTGCCACAAGAGTCCTTTCAAAAAATGTCCAAATACGTTGAATTTCAGCCCATAACCGCCAAAAGTCGTTTCATAGTCGTCTCGGGCATCGTCGGAGGGCTCGAGAGCACCGTTGGCGAGCTTTTCTATCATTTTTTTGTCTTCTCGTGCAAATCTTGCCGTCGGCGCCCAGCAGACTGCGCAGCTCCACTGTTTTACTCCGTTTGGCTCCGTTTCGCCCCATTTCAGTTGCGTTGTGTTCCTAACAGATAGCTCTACAAAATAAGCATGAAAACAACCTTCTTTTAAATTGTAATCTCATTCAAAAATATGCAAGAAGTGTAAAAAAGATTAAGCATCGAAAGACTTATCGAAAGGTGACAGGGCAAAATTTTATTTCTTGCTCGTTTTTGCTCCAAATTGCATCGTTTTTACATCATTTTGCTCCAATGACCATAATTCATCATACCTGCAACAAAACATCAAAAATACCCTTCTTTAAAGTACAATATCATAAAAAAATAGTGTAAAATATGTATAAAAATCTCAACATATTTTCCTTTGGTCACCTAGCAGGTAAATGTGCCAATGTCATGCAAATAAACATAAGATAAATGTATCCTCTTAAAAATTTATGTTGGTGTCGGGTATGTGTCTTTGTTATAGATACAAATATCAAAATATTATAATGCAATCACCGTAATTCTTGATATTTTAGCCTATTCACTTGCAACCCTAAATCCCTTCATTTCCGCCACCCCACCCAAAATATTGAAAGAAACTATGTAACATGAGAGCCAAACTTGCCCCACATGAATAAATTGTGTAATGACATATGTGGTTTCCAGATAAGCTCTAAACCATCAAAATAATGTGCAAATTATCATAGAAAATACATGAAATAGTCCACATCAACGATGTGTACGTCATGGATGAATTAGAAGCAATAATCTCATTAAAATTCATATCGCCCTTGAACTACATGTTAATTATGTTAGCATAGTTTTCTAGAAAAGAAAGTTATAACAATCTATTATATACAAATAAATAGATAGAACAACATCATGAAAAAAGAAGACTTGCACTAAAATCTTATGACAAATGAAGACAAACACAACATCAAGGAAAAAATTCTAGGGCTCATTATAAACCGAAACAAACATTAAAAACCATGTAAACATAACCTACTGGTCTATCATCTTTTGCAATCTTCTGTAATGCATGTTGATAAATTCAAAACTAAAAAGAGTGATACTATCTCATAGCATTGTTTAGTAAACCATGACAAAGAAATTTCAACAAAAATTATCATGTGCGCTACTCATATAATTGCTCTTCATCAATTTATTCACCATCAAGAAAATTCTGATTAGACTGACTAATTGGATCCATACGCGTGGTTCTGTGATGCCCTAAAGAATCAGAGCAACCATATTTGTGATTAATTTTACTCTTTATATTTTGGTTGTCCATGACATTTTTTATTCTCCACTTATTTGGCCTTCCTCTAGGCTTAAATGTATTTGTTGTATAAATATGAAAATTGTCAGTAGGTGTGATCCATTCACTTTTCTCTAAGAGAGTGGAAATCTCAACATAATAGGTCATCATATCTTTGTAGTTATATTAGTAACACCAAAAAATAGCCAATATAAGAAATAAGACTTGAATTTGAGAAAAGAAAAGATAAATATGCAGCACAAAATCAGCAAATACCTGATTGCATGAAAATGCTCATCCACATAAGTATTTCACGGTGCTGCATCTTTTCTGCTAATGGTGTAGGCAGCATGAATGCATGGTAGAACACTCACTTGCCAATATTAGCAACCACCATTTTTGTTGGATGCCTATCTCATATCTTTTTTGATGCCTCTAGATCCTGGTCATGTACGTTGTTCAAGCTCTAATAACGAATCTTATTTTTATTGTTGTTAAGTATCTTATATAATCTTTAGCTGCAGACACTAATTCACCTCTCTATTTGTTTGATTTAAGCTTTCTTTTAGCTTTTTTCTCCATTAGCTTCCGTCTTATCATAACCATCAAATCTACTACATGTTTATCCCTAGCTTCTCTAACTCTAGTGTTGAAGGATTCTTATATGTTATTAATATTAGTTTGTTTTTAAATTTCAGGCAAAAATTTGACATTTCGCCCATTTATATGGAACATTGACGAGCTATGCATGAAGAAGAGGGCTAATTTCCAAAATCTCATTGAGTTTCACTTTGAATTTGGCTCTAGTGTATGCAATTGATGCTCACCAAGAATTGTGTTGAATGGCTTTGCTACCCTAGAAATTGTTATATTTCCTAAATTTTTTTTTATAAATAGCATATGCAAACTCTATGTTCTGCATGTGAAAATACAAACCTTAATGTCTCAACCAAACCTTCTCCATGTCAGAGCCCGATGACACAACTTCAAACTCAAAAAATATAACTAAATTTTGTAGAAAGAATTCCCTAAACTTCTTTGTTTCAGACTTGACTACTGCATATGTGATTGTAAAAAGGCCATTATTACCATCCATGGCATTTGCTAAAAATAATACCCCCAGGTATTTAGATTTCAAATGACATGCATCAAGACCGACAAAATGTCTGCAGCCAACTAGAAACCAATCAATGCATACCTTAAAATTAACATACATGAATGTGTGTTTAATACCATTCTACTCAAAGGCAATATGAAAACCTGGATTCCTTTTAATAGGTTCTGCACATACTAAAGGAACCAACTTTTAACTCTCATAAATCGATCCAAATATTTGATGCTAAGTGTTTGGATCTCCACAACTTCATATAATGCAGTGACAAGTCATACATTCTTTCTAGATGAAAGCTATATTATTTTAGTGAAATGTTTAAATAAATATTTACTGCATCTTATATTTCATTAGCCACCCAATTAATCATTTTCTATTTATTACTAGCTATGTTGAGAGCCAGGCAAATATGTGAAGCTTTAATTTTTCTTATTTTAAATATTCGTCTATCAGCCAAAACTGAAGCTCTCACTCTACATGGGCAACCACTATGAGAATAAATGGCAATAACACTCTTTTAATCGCTTGTATTAAACTTCATTTCAAAGTTCTTAACAATGACCATTATCTGAGGAAATTGTCTCAAGTTTGTTGAATCTTTAAACTTAAAGCCATCTTTCAAAGATACATCATCAACCATTCAGCTCATTAATTATAAATCTAGCAATATACTCATCAATTTCATATGTGAATATGCAAGTAGTTTCAGAACTTGATTGATTGTACTCAATCAATTCAGCATTACGTGACATGATGCACTTTAAAGATTTAAAGCCTCATAGGAAAAAAAACAAAGGGTCATTACAATAAGAGAGAAGGAACATTAGAATTATGAATTATGATTATGATTCAATTTATGCTAATATATCTAAAGTCTATAGTAAGCAATTATACAAAGCATCAAGATTTAACTGAATGTTATATGTCATATAAAATAGTTTTTGATTTCGACACCTAAAACACAAGCTAATGAAATTGTAGTTATTGATGAATGGCTTGAGTTCGTCTTTGTTTCACACATAAAAACAAATCAGGAATCAACAACTTTCTACTCACAAAAGTAACATTAAGTTGACAATTTCCATTTCAAACGTCACTAAACACAAATTCATAATGCAACACAAATTCTTCATATTCTTAATGAACCACAAAAGGATGAAAGAAGATGGAGATAGAGGCATCACTCAACCATAATGCCTATAGGGCAAGCATGCTAAAAAAGACTTGGATTGAAAATCATAAACATTATCATGGTCACCACTAGGAAACAACTACACTGCAAAAATGTTTATATGCATGCAATTCTAAGTCATATCATTGTCAACTAACACCTTATTAATTCACAAACATAAAATTTCACCATTTCCAAAATTGGTGGAGCTTTGCCCATGAACATCATCATCCTTGAACAACACCAAACTCATATTGTCAACACAGATATTAAAAAAAAAAATCATTGAGATGGATCACCAAAATAAGGATTTATAGCTCAATTTCAATCATATACTCACTAGAAATACTTGTCACGCTCATCAAAGTTTTGATGTGGTATGTATGTAAATCTACTAGTATACTATGAAAAATTTATCCCATCAGTCAAAATGAGACTTATAAATCCTTCCAAACAACAAAGGAGAACTGTAACATCTTAACTCTCATTTCCCTTTAAAATAACAAAAAAAAAACCACAAAAATGGTTAAAATGACAAATATAAATCCCACATAAACTTAAATCCAATTTGTCTTTAGTCTTGCCTTAAATCTCAATTTTGATATATCTATTGTAAGCACACGAAGAGTGGTTGGCAAAAAGAGGTAGAAAGATGGGAGTTTTAGAGTTCATTGTATGCCACATGCAAGGCTAGCTTTAGGCGCAACTGTGTTGTGAGAATTTTGCCAACTAGAGGAAGAAGGGAAATAAGAAGGTAGGCTAGGCTTTCCAGATGTAAACATAAGGCCGAAAGGGGAAAATGGGTTTCGTGATTACCTTGGACCTCCCGACGACACAATATCACTGTTCTGCGGCGTGAAGAGGAGACGTGGGAAAAAGCAAGTGATAGAAGAGAATGTTCCGTGTAAGAGGGCGATGGAGGCAGCTCAGAAAGGGAAGGTGGGTTTTGTGATTACCTGGTGTCCCTCGATAACAGCTTTCACAATTATGTGGTGTGAAGGAGGTACACGGGAATAAGGAGTTGATGAAAGAAGACCTTCAGTATAAGATGGAGCCGGACGCATTTAGGATTTCGGGTGATCGTGCTAAAATATCAAGAGTTTGGGCGGCTGCACTGTAATATTTAAAATTTTGAGTGATGGCCAAGTAAAAAAACCTTAAAATATTTGTTTTAATGTTATAATTGACACAAATCCTTCTCTCTTTTTGTTCATCTCTCTTTGCTTCTTGTAACTGCCCCAATGAAATGATTGCTTCATTTTATCTTTTAAAGTTAGAAATTTAAAGGGCTCCTCTTGCTCTCCGTGCAACCGTTCACCTGCCTTATTAAATAAGGTAGCCGGAAACCAAAAGCCACGAGTGGAGAGAATTCAAACGGGCCGTGGTAATTCAAAACTAGAGAGAGGGATGAGAATCCTCGAATCGTCTCGCTTCTTTCTCCCACTTTCCACCGAGTTACTTGGTCTGTAATTGCAGACAAGTGAGAGTCAAGAACCACACAAGTCGCTGTTCTTTTCTTCTTCTTCCCATTTCTCAGCAGTGGCAGAGTAGTTCCTTGGCAGTTGCAAGCAAGTTCTTCTCCTCCTGCGCTTGTGACAACCTCCAGCAGGTACTCACCGAAGCCCCTTAAAAATAACTTCTTTAATGGTTTCCCCCCTTTTTCTCAGCTAAAAGGTTCTCAGCTTTTAGCTAAATTAGGGATTTTGTTTTGAAAAAAAAAATGGATTTTGTAATTTCGGAGCTGTTATTTTCACTCCATTCATAATAAATTCTAATGTATTTTCAGAGAGGCAGTCATTTATGGACTCTGAGAATAACCATATGGACAAGGAGTTGATCATTATCATCTCCTTGTCCGCGCTTGCTGTTATTGCAATAGCTCTATCTGCCATTTTTGCCTGGATCTCCTGCCGAAAGAATCATAAAGGTTATCTTTCTGAGTTTTGATCTTGAGAAGAAACTCATTTGAACTCTAATTATAGTAATTTATTCGGAAATCTGATGCAGATTCTTCGATTAAAAGGATTTCCTTTGACTCCAATTTTTAGCAAGTTGAGTTCAGTGAAGGTTGTTTGCTAAAAATTAAATAGTTGTTGAAATGATCGATTATTCATTGTTGGAGTCTGCCACAAATAATTTCAGCGAGCATAATATCTTAGCTGACGGGGGAGTTTGCTGTGTATACAAAGCTACTTTCAGCAACGAAGTCCTTGCTGTCGTGAAGAAATTAGATGGTAGTGGGCTGGAATATGAGAGAATGTTTCAGGTAAATTCTTGAATTTGCAGATCTACTTTTTACTAATATTTGCTTTTGGGAGACTTTTTGAATTTTGAGCTTTTCTTTTTCTTGCTTTTTATTAATGCAGAATGAGCTGAAACTTTTTGAAAGAATCAGGCACCCAAATATTGTCTCTCTTTTGGGTTATTGCATTCATGGGCAGTCCAGATTTCTTGTTTATGAATTCTTGCCAAATGGCTCATTGGAATCACTATTGCATGGTATTGTTCTCTTTTTATTATAATAATGATGAAGACTGAAGAAGAAAAGTTGAACTAAAAAGCTGATGCCTTTTTTTTTTTTTTTTTGGTTTTTTTAGGGGCAACCCTTTCGTGGATCAGCTTTAACTTGGCACTTGAGGATGAAAATTGCACTTGATACAGCAAGGTTGGCCTACATTTTATGTTGTTTCCTTCAATATATATATATATATTACGCTCAATCAACTTATTATTATAATTTTTTTATCTAGAGGACTGGAATATCTGCATGAGAATTGTAACCCTCCTGTGATTCATAGAGACTTGAAATCATCTAATATTCTTCTTGATTCACAGTTCAACGCCAAGGTGCATTCTTCTTCAGATACTTTTTTTTTTTATTAAAATGAATATTTATTATTTTCTTATGAATACTACAGATTTCAGATTTTGGACTTGCAATTTGTGATTACAACCAAAACAAAGCCAATGTCAAACTTTCAGACACATTAGATCATGTCGCTCCGGAGTATGTTTTAGATGGTTTGTCATTCCTATTACTCACGTAAATTCAAATCTTTGAATTATAAATTTGTAAAAGAAGGTTTTTTATTCATCAACAAACTGAAAGTTACAATTTTTTTTTCCTAAATTTTGTTTTTCAGGTAAGCTTACTGAGAAGAGTGATGTCTATGCATTTGGAGTTGTTCTTCTCGAGCTTCTGTTGGGAAGAAAGCCTGTTGAAAAAATGTCTTCTACTCAGAATCAATCTATTGTCACTTGGGTATCAATTTGTTTACTTAAACTCACTTAGTGGCCTTTACATATGTACCATCCAATTCCTATATATTGACATAGCAACCACCCAAACTTCAATTTTTACCCACGTATCACCCGATTCCTATATTTTCGGCTAAGATTGGGTAATTTGTGGGTAAAAATTGAAGTTTAGGTGATTGATATGTTAATACATTGGAATTGGGTTGTAGGTATGTAAAACTCTCTTTTTTTTTTTTTTTTTTTTTGGCGTAGCTTTCGTTGTGATGATCAGATGCTCCATCTTATTTCAGGCCATGCCTCAACTAACAGATCGATCAAAGCTTCCAAGCATAGTAGACCCCATAATTCGAGATACAATGGACTTGAAACATCTGTACCAGGTAAATCTCTTCTTGTTTTTTGTCTTTTTGTTCCTACCCACTAATACAGATTGTTTTTCATTCTCGTAAGGTTATATTGTAATGGAATTATCCAGGTTGCAGCTGTTGCTGTGCTATGCGTTCAACCAGAAGCAAGTTACAGACCATTGATAACGGATGTGCTCCACTCTCTGATACCATTGGTGCCAGTTGAGCTTGGAGGAACGCTTAAATTTGCAGAGAGATCATCACAACAAAGCTAAATGCTTTCTTCATTCTTTGTTTCACTACTAATTATATGCATTGGTGATTGTGTTACTTCCTTTTGAGTTTATCTTCATCAGTTGTTTTTTGGTGTTGGAAAAGTTGTAGCTTTGTTGATATGTTAAACAAAAAATACAGAATGAGACATGCTTCAATCTTTATGAATGGAAAATAATGGATGTGATTATTCTGATCAGAGTTTGATCATAATGGATTTTAGAGTTTGGTTAGGATACAGAGATCGAATTTATTTTCTCCTTTTATGTACTTGCTTGTACTGACATGAATTAATGAGGAATGAATACTTATCAAGAAAAATATTCAATTCATTTGAATTTTAAAAAAAAGTCAGAAATTTAGCTCAATAAAGAAAGTATCTGTTTTGACGCTTTGAAATTTTCTTGGAAGGACTTCTGTCTTATTCTCAGCAATAAGGTTTAAGATAGTTTTAATTTCATGGTCATGTGGCTTCTATGATAGATCTCCGAATGGAGTCTTCGGAATGGCAGAATGGTTCTTTTTGTTTTGTCAGCAACATTATGTGATGTAAAGCAATTAAGGTCAGCATCAGAATTCTGCCATTTAAAGATTATTGCTGGAAAAGGAAACACCTTGAAAATACCATTTTGGACAGTAGATTTATTATTATTATTATTATTATTATTATTATTATTTCTTTTTTACTTTTTTTTTGGTTGGTAAAAATACACAGAATAAAATAAAGACCTGTAGAAAGGCAAAGAAGAAAGACAAAGAATAATTGGTTTCAATGAGGGATGGCTCCATGTAGGATTATCATGAAAAGGCTCAATTAGCCACTGAGCTTGCTTGCCCAAAAAAGTGAAAAGAGAATCATGGCGTGTTTGAAGAAGTGGAGAGCAAAACGCTAATCGAAGTAAAGCAATAAACAATCATGACTAAATGAATGTAGATGTGATCTAGCCTCATGCACTTTTTGGTAAGGTAGAGAGTAAATAGATGTTAATAGCATAGATTTGTAAACCTAGGCAATGATCAAGAAATATATGTTAATTGAAGGAAAAATAACATCAAGGAGTATATCAAGTCAATGGGGACATTCAAAAAATTCTATCTAGAAGGGTAGGTATCAACACAATATCGAGTGAAAAGCCAAAAAGAAATAGAACATAAGACAACATTCTATCATTAAAATTTGATAACTAACAAATAAGAGAGTCCAGATAGTCATTTGAGTATATTGAGATTGCTGAGAAATTAGGGCGAAGAAAAACAAGAATCGACACAAATCCAGAGAAAAACACAAAGATTTAACAAGGTTCGACCAAGATGCCTACGTCATCGGGAGCAGAGCGTCGGCTTTCTTTCAATTCTAGAAAAGAGTACAGAATATGGGATATATAAAGCCTCGGAGCAAACACTAAAGTGCAATATGTAATTACAAAATCACCCTTGAATCGTATAGCGGGGCGTCGCTCCCACACCCCCAACCTACATAACGAAACTCTCCCCATTGGATAGATTCTTCTGCTCTGCTCCGCTCCGCTTCGTTCCAGCATCTGTTCCTTATATGTTATATGAGTCATATCATAACAGAGATAAAGTTTTTAAATCATTGCTCACCAAAATCTGACCAAAACCAAAAGTGATCATATACTTGCATGAAGTTTCATCCTAAAGCCAACTAACAAAACAAAACATAATAAAAATAAGAGAGTCACAAATCTTATATAATCTTCTAAGTTAAATGGTATTTATTTTTGAATTTTTTACTTCTTTCTTTTAAATTAGATAGTCTAATTTATGTTAAGTGTAAGAAAATCAAAATAGGTTATAGTATTCCTAAAATCCTATAATTCCTTTTCATCCAGATGTTTTAAGTATGGAATGCACAACCGATAAAAAATTCTTTTAACGATCTTATATACAAAAGTATCAGAATGTGTAAACAATTTAAAGATATTTCTCCCAAAGAAGAAAAATTTTCAACTAGAAATACAACTCCTTGATAATTGATGTGCCAAAACTTACCGCGAAGTAAGTTGGCCACACAACGCAAATATACGTATCAAGTAATAACGCGGTTAAAGGTACAAAATATCATCCTATAAGAAGAATGTAATATTGCTTTCACAGAAAGGTCTCTAGTTTACTAATTTAGTTAACTTAGCTTGGTGGTTATCAAAAAGAGTTTTGAAATCCTAGTTTTAATAAAAAGAAAATAGGTCATGGGCAGAGGAAACATAAAAACGGGAAAGATCTCAAGTGTTCCTTCACGATTGATGAGGCGCGTGCCTCTGTGATTCGGGGATCGTGAAGATCATAGTTTCGTAAATGTTTTCCTATATGGTTGTTGCTAATCGGGGATATGTTACTTTTTATGCTTATGTCTAGGTAAAAAAATCCCTAGAACTCATGAAGTTGAGATTTCCTCAATCCCCATGGCATTCCACTTGATTATTCTGATCCCCAGAAAGATTACAGAATTCCATTGGAATATGTATATTCTTATGGAGTTCTATGGTTAACCATTCATTTCTACTATGTGACGATTAGAAGTCAAAGTTTCACGAAACATGTTAACATCTTAGTTAGCCAGACTTGGAGTAAATTAGGATAAGAGGTTAACCAACAACATAGACCATGAAAGTATGAGAAAATGTTAATGGAAAATCATCTTAGAAAATCACAATAAAAATCACCACCCCTATGTCACAGAGACATGAAGAAAAGTATAGCCACACATTATAGAGAAAACTACATAAAATTCATCCAGATTTTCATTGCAAGAATCAAACAGGAGTACAAAATTACAATAAAACTTTTTCCTCTCCACAAGGGCAACATCTTTTCCTCTCATACAATAGCTCTCTCAAGAACTCACAAGAATTTAATGGCGGAAACTCACCTCTTGAAGTTCCAATCCAAAAGAAAAAGATAAAACCTAAAAGGAAAACTTTTTCTAATCAGAACTCTCCCTTTCTTATAGGGACTGTTTGGGGTAGTTGTACCTTATTGAATAATCTGCTGATAAAAATAATCTGCTGATAAGCTAGGTGCGGTGGCTATTACAATTTTTTATTTTTTTGGAAAAACCAGATTGTCGCCAATAAGCTCCCAAACATTATTTTCTGCATTTTGAAAACACATAAGCTGCCAAAACGCAGTTTACCTAAACAGGTCAGGTGCGTTTTCAAAATGCCACTACACCAAATAAGCTACCCCAAACAGGCCCATAGTCTCCATCCACCCATGATGCCATAATATCGACCTCATTTATTATTTTATAAGCAAAGCTCAACAAAGGCAATAAAATTCTAGCAAAAAATGATTTTTGTGATATAGCCAAACATTATAGGGAAAACTACACATTCAAAATTCATCTAGATTGTCATTGCAAGAATAAAACAGGAGTACAAACTAATAATTCATTCATTGCAAGAATAAAACAGGAGTACAAACTAATAATAAAACTTTTTCTCTCCACAAGGGTAGCATCTTTTCCTCTCATGCAATAAATCTCTCAAGAACTCACAAGAATTTAATGGTGGAAACTCACCTCTTGAGGTTCCAATCCAAAAGAAAGAGAAAAAACCTAAAAGGAAAACTCTTTCTAATCAAAACTCTCCCTTTCTTATAGCCTCCAGCCGCCCATGATGCCATAAGATCGACCTCATTAATTATATTATAAGCAAAGCTCTATAAAGGCAATAAAATTCTAGCAAAAAATGATTTTTGTGATCTGGCATAGGTGCACCTCGAACACGGTGCGAGTGCTTTAGATTGGGTGCATGGGCACTGAACATAGCTGTATTTTAAGGAGCAAAAACTTAAGTTAATACATAATTGGATACTATGAAAAAGAAGAAAGCTTAATAGCGTATTTAGGCTTGCTCAAGTATCTCTAAATTCAACTTCATTTAATAGTCTATAAATTTTCATAAGGAAAAAGATTTAAGTTATTAAGTTCACAAGTTTTGATTATAGAACATTAAAATCACTGACTCCATTATGATATTTTTCTTTTTCTCACATAAAGATGTTGATATCACAAATTGAAGTGTTGGAGTTCCTTAGCAAGAGTTAACTGGTGAATTAAAAATCTTTTATTGAGCTATATGATGTACTTTCAGGTTTGTAATATATATTCCAAACCCCCCCCCACCAACCACCACAAACTTGTTTTATGTCATGGGTTAGTAGTTAGAAAACACATGTAAGTGCAGGAAAAAATAGGTCCCATGAATCTCATAAAGTAAAATACAAGCTAGACAGTAATTCATCAAGAAAAGGGCAACACAAAACAATGCAGCAGTGCAGACCTAAATATACATATGAATATAAAAAAATAAGTACAGACATGTGCCTGGACACTTAGCAGGGACAACAACTCACAAAAAGGAAACAACACTTACTAATATGATCGTGCAACAATGCAATAGGAACTTTGAAGAAACATGCATGGTAGGGTCAACAGGGATAACAACACACATACACTTATTACAAGGCTATAAACAATGCAAAAGTTGCCCATGTCGTTGCCCATGTCGTTGCCCTGACCACCTAGAATCATCTCCTCTCACACGACGGGTGCAAAAACACCATTGAGTGCAAGCCCCTCAGGATTGTGAGCACGCAACATCACCAGAGCCAAATGAGAGTTTTTGCCCTCCATCACTTCCCCTCCTTCAGAGTGCATGAAAATCCTGACGGTGAATGTGAAAGCCAGCTTTGATGCATGCAACGTGTACTCTTATGGACTCCTCCCATAACATCCTCCTTAGGATGTTGTGAGGATCTTCTCGTGATGCCTTGGGTAGCTCAGAGATGTCAATTCTCCAAGCCACCCCCTTTTACGACCTATTGCAAGAGAAATCCAAGGATTTTCTACACCTACCAAGAACTGACTACCCACCATATGCGTGATGAACTGATCAAACCCAGATCTCATAGAATTGCCCAACTAGGCCTTGAAGCTCCCAACCACTCTCTCATTATTCACATTAGTGAGACTAGTGATATATCTTAGAGATATGGAGGCTAAATCCAAAGAAATATCACATCCATGCCAGCTTGTTCCCAAATTTGAAGTTGGTTGACAAGAATCAACTTCCTTTGAACACTAAACACCTTTGACCAAGAGAAATTCTAGGGCTGTTAAAAAAAGTTGAGAATGTAAGTTAAAACTTGCATATCTGTGGAAGAATAGAAGAGATATTTGAAGCTTA